TCGACCAACTCCCACGTTCTTATGTTGAGGAGGCTGCGAATCTCCTCCTCCATGGCGGACTTCACCGCCGGGCCCTTCCAGCTCGCCAACGCCTCCTTCACCGTCATCGTCGAGATGTCTCAACGGTGCTCGGGGTCGGCTAGCATGTCGGGGTCGAGCTCTGGAAACTCCTCATCCTCCTCGGCATCGTCGTACAGCAGGTCGTCGGCCTCATCGTCCACGTCGTACACCGTGGTGAAGGCAGCGGGGACGAAGAAGTCAGGCGGTCTCCGAAGTCGGCCTGAACGCCGTGGTCCTGGCTAGACCTCCTCGGCGTCCCCTCCATCGTTGCTGTTGTCGCTGCCCTCGGCGTCCTGCTGCTCCTCAGCCGGCATCCCAGCCGACTTCTCCCCTATGGTTGGCTCCCCTGCCGACTGCCCAGTCGCCGACTGCTCCTTGGTCGGCGTCACTGCTGCCTGCTCCTTTGTCGGCCGCTGGTCCTCGACCTGCTTCTCGACCTGCTCCTCCCCTGTCGACGTCAACCGCAATCCCACGTTGACCTGCCGCTCGTCACGTCGGCCACCGGCGATGCACTTGGCCGAAGGCGACGTCCCACTACTCCCCTCATCGCCGGAGGCCGACACCGAGGTCAGCCCACGCAGGTCGGCCACGAGGGGAGGGGCAGGGGTCGGATGGGGAGGGGTAGGGGGGCGGACGTCCTCGACGTCCGTAATAGCAAGCTCACCGACCTCGGCAAGCAGTGGCAGCGTCGCCGACGAGGTGTCAGAGGGCGGGGTGGGCGACGAGCGGCCGGACACCGACCCGTACTCCGTCTTCCACTCGGCCAGCTACAGCTCCTCGTAGAACACCACATCCGACGTGGTGACCACCCGGTCGGCGTCGACGTCGAGGAGCTCCCAGCCCTTGCTCGCCGCTGACACGCCAAGGTGCAGGCCCCACCTGGCCTTCGGCTGCAGCTTCCCACCACGCTGCTGCTCGGTGACTAAGAACTGCGCCATGCAGCCCCACACCCGCGCCACCGACAAGTCGGGCTTCTTCCCGGTCAGCAGTTGGTACGGCGTCGTCCCCGGCGGCAGCGCCGACCTCTCAAGGCAGTTGCGGACCCAGACAGCCCGCCGGAGAGCGAGGTGCCACCAGTGGTGCTGCACGCCCATGTGCAGCAGCATTGTCCGCACCGACTCCACCACCGTCCTCATCTCCCGCTCCGCCATGCCGTTCTGCTGCGGGGTGTATGGGCAGGTCAGGTCGTGGACGATCCCCTTGCCGTTCACGAAGTCGGTGAACTGCTTCCCGAGGAACTCCCCTCCCCAGTCTGAGCGCAGCATTAACACCGACTTCTTCGTCTGCCGCTCAGCCACCGCCAGCCACTGTACGAACGCCGACAAAGCATCTGACTTCTTGGCGACCGGCTTCACCCACACGTAACGGGTCTTGCGGTCCTTCAGCAACAAGAAATACAGGCTGCCATCCTTGGCAGCCACGCGAAACGGCCCGCACAGGTCGATGTGCACGACGGCCAGCACGTCGTCGGCGTCGGAGCCGTGGTCGGGGAAGGTGTGTCGCGCCAGCTTCCCGCCGACGCACGAGACACACGGGGTGTCGGCGTCCGTCGCCGACTTGAGGTCCAGCCCAATGGCGACCTCGTTCTTCGCCGAGCTCCGTATGGTGTCCATGCCGACATGCGCAAGCCTCGCATGCATCCGGTCCGGCGTCGACTTCGTCTTCGAGACGATCGCCCGCAGAGCCACCACCTCCGTCGTGGGTGGCGTCGACCTCGTCGCGCAGGGACGCAGGTCGGTGCAGAGGACTCGCCCGGAGTACGCCCGCCCGAGCACCTCCCCTTCTGCCGAGACGAGCAGCATGCCGTCGTCGTCCTCCTGCAGCTTCACGCCGTGCTCCTTCAGCTGGCCGGTCGACAGCAGGTTGGCCCGCACATCCGGGACGTACAGCACGTCGGGGATGAGCACCTCCTTCCCGGCCTCTCCTTGCAGGGAGACGGTGCCACGGCCCTGAACGTCCTGCAGCGCCCCATTAAAGCCGCGCACGTGCTTGATGGAGCCACTCGGCTGCAGGTCGACGAAGGCTTCCTTCGTTCCCATCAGGTGGTGGGAACAACCGCTGTCGAGCAGGACCACCGCCGGGTTCGCCTGCACAGCTGCCGCCACCGCCTGGAAGTCCTCTCCGGCCTCCGGTGCCAGAGAGATGGTCGGCTCCACGACGCCAACCAGCGAGCACGACGCCACCTTGTCGTCTCGCCCCTTGCCGCGTACAACAGAGTCGACGTCCTTCGCCGAGGTCGATGTCGTCGACTGGTTCTCCTTGCGCGGCTTGTTTCCTCCTCGATGAGGACGACGGCTGTGAGACCTCCCGCGGCCGCCCTTGTTGTCGTCGTCGGAGTCACTGCGGTCAAGACACTCGAAGGAGAGGTGGTCAGGGCTGTGGCAGATCCAGCAGTCTTGACGTCGACCTCCTCCTCCTCGACCGCCGTCCTTGGTCGACCTCTTCTCGACCTCCTTGGTCGACTTCCAGCCACCGCTCCCGCCGCCACCAGGCTGTCCGCGCTGTCCTAGTCGGCCTCCTTGCTTCGCCGGGGCGATAAAGTTGGCCTGCGCCAAGAACTCCTGCGATCGCTCAGCCTCCTGCATCGCCTCGTCCTGCAGGATATACGAAGTCAGGTTGTCCTCGTTGAGCGTCGCCCTTGTGCTCGGCGCCATAGACAGCCGCTTCAGCAGGTTATAGCTGCTAGACAGTCCCTGCATGACATGGGTGATGTACGACGCCGTGGAGTACTGCGCGCCGGCCATCCTGATGGTGGCGAGAATTCGCCTGGCTCGGTTGCAGTAGTCGGTCGCACTCTCCTCGTCGCCCATACGCAGCTGCGTCAGCTGTCCCTCCAGCTGGGCGATGAACAGGTCGTCGGTGACCTGGTACGTCGACTCAATGAAGTGCCACGCCCGGTGGCCAGCGTCGATGTACTCCCGGCACCACTTCAAGGCGATCTGCACGCCCGGCGAGCAGCATCGCGAGATGACCGTGAAGGTCAACAGCTGCATGGCGCGAAACTCCGCACGCAGGTCGGGGTGGTGCTCCCCCGGCGTCGCCACGGTCCCTCGAGCGAAGCCGATCAACCCGGCCATCTCCAGCTGGGACTCGATGGCTTCCTTCCAGGTGAGAATGTCGGGTCGACCGACCAGCGGAGGGGTGACCGAGATCCTGTCCGGCGTAAACTTGAAGTAGCCGTAGCTCGGCGCAATCCCACCTGCCATCACCTGGGACGCCGACATCGGCGACACCCCACTCCGTCGACCGCCGACGTCACCCCGCGAAGAGCCTGCAGTCGCCGACGACTGCATCCCTCGCGCTTGAACGCCGCCGACTTCACCGGCGTGTATCACACCTCTCTGCCTCGACGTGCCTCCAGCACTGCTGCCGACTTGACCACCACCGGTGTTGACGCCCACGTCGACGCCGCCTTCGTTGTTCACCGGACGAGGAGAGGCAGGTCGAGACGGGTGCTCCGTCGCCCACATGGAGCGGAGTCCAGCCTCGACGACCGGCCAGGGCAAGTCGCCATACTCATTGGCCTCGTGCTTCCTCCTCGCGTTCTCCAACCGTGCCATTAGGGTGTCCACCACCCCCGCGTCACCTACGGCTCCTACCATAGTGACTACAGCACTGTTGCCGGCCTGCAACTACGAGATAGGTAAGTGGTGTCTACGTCGACCTGACTGAAAGGTAAGTCGTGTGCCGTCCACGCTCACCGCACCATGCGGAGATAACTGCAGCAACGGGAGCTAGGCTACGGGCTAGGCACGTGTGCTCGTGTGATCTCTGCGTTCGTTAGTCCTTAGTCGTTTTCCTTGTGCACACACTACTTGCTAGTTCACGAGGAAAATTGGCAAGAGTTTCACTAGGAAAAGTTCAGAACAATGGGTACAATGAAGTTGGCATAACAAGACTACATCAGAGCAAGCATTCAGGTCGGCCAACTGCCAGCGCAGCTTGGTCGACCGCGTTCCAGCACGACTTCGTCGACCGCGCTCCAGCAAGGCAAGGTCGACGGCGTGCCAACGTTGCAGGTTGACGGCGTGACAGCGTTGCTCACGCAGGACAGCAGTGCACCCTGCTTCGCAATTGTGCGCAGATGATTGGCGCACAGAGTCTTGTCACCTGCACAGCGCACACACCACATCAACCTCGAGCTGACGACTGCCTCTGATCCGCCACGACGACCTCGGGATACCACAACCGAGGTCGGGCTCGCCAACTTCGCCTGGGCGACCGTCGCACTCCTCCGCAGCACTTCGTCACCCAGGTAACCTGGTCGACCAGGCAACCATGTCGACCAGCAGCTCCCGTACGTGCCCGTCGACCTCCCAAGTCGACGACCACCTCCACGTCGACCTCACCAGGTCGACGACACCATCGGTCGACCTCCTCCAGGTCGACATCCCCTCTGGTCGACCAGCTCCACGTCGACCAGCACTCCTGGTAGACCTGCTCCTCGTCGACCAGCACAGTCGTCGGCCGACCACCCACGTCGGCCACCCGAATCTGGCGTCACGAAGTTGACGTCCCGCTACTCGACGCCCAACTGCTCGGCGTCCTGAGTCGAGGTCGACGTCGGCCCCTCCTTCGTCGACCACCAGGTCCAGTCGACCACTAACAGGTCGACCAGCAGTCTGTTAGCCGACTGCCGAAGTCGTCTTCCCCAAGTTGACTTCACCAAGTTGACGTCCTCCGCAGGTCGACACCCAAGTCGACCTCCCTGAAGTCGGCGCCACCCTGAAGTCGGCGCCCGTGCAGTGGTCCCCCGTGCAGGTCGACCTCCTCGTCGACCAGCTCACCCACTGCTGAAGGCCGGCTGCTCCCCTCACACCCGACCACGAAGTCGGCTCCGCCCAAGCGAGGACGGGGCCAATACCCAACTCCCGTTGACAAGCAGGGGGCAGACTCAGGACCAGACCTGGACGCAGCAGCAAACACCTGACCCGACGCAGCTACCTGGCCAGACGCAGGGACAGGAGGAGACTCAGTGGTCAGGGTGTAGAGACCCGACCCCGGCCGACGCGAAAACGTGGCCAGGTGTCGGCCTGTGCGGGCGTCCGAGCAGTGGGTCACCCGCTGACTCGCTGGAGTAAACTGGTGAACCCCCCCATCCTACAGGTCAGCACCACTCACCAAGTTCGTCGAGAACGAGGGGAGGTACAGACTAGACAGGGTGCCCGAGGTGGCAGCCGGACACGGGAGGACAGTGCAGAAGTGAGAGAGGACAGGGCCCCCAGAGGGGTCAGCCAGGGAGACTGCAACCGGCCGACAAAGCGGCGTGAGTGTGGTGCGGTCTCGAAAGAAGGAGCGAGAAGCCCCTGAGTCAAGTGTGAAGGTGAGGGAGGCCGAAGCCGACGCAGTACCTGAGAGCGCAGCCTCACCAGTACCTGAGAGCGCAGACACACTGGCACCTAGAGCAGCAGCCTCACAAGCACCTAGCGCAGCAGAACCAATGCCCGGGTCAGGCGGGAAACACCGGTAACAGTCACCCTCATCACTAATAGTCACAGCATACATGGCAGCAAGGATAGCATCAAAGTCAAGATCAAACATAGCTACGCCAGCCCTAGACAGCTCTCCCTAGCGGGGAATCTCACTAGCCTCGGGGAACTGCTGACGCCAAGCGTCCGTCAGGCGGCCAAAGCAGCGCTGGGTGGGGTGGGCACCCCCACACTGCTCACCCGCGCGGTCGCCGGAACGAAGGACGTAGGTGCACGGACCAAAACCCCCACCACGCTGACGCTGCGCGTACCACTCACGGAGCTGCTGAGGCGGGGGGATGTCCCGAGAACGCTGCTGCTGCTGCTGCTGCTGCTGCTGCTGGCGGTGACCACCACCAGAGCCGCTCCGCTGCGGGGCACCACCCTGACCAGCTCCACCCCCTCCGACACCGCCGCCTCCACCTCCGCCACCACCGCCGCCTCCGCTCCCACCGCTGCCGCCGCCACCGCCTCCGCCTCCGCTGCTGCCACCACCACCAAAACCCCCGCAACCACTCCCACCGCCACCCCCACTCCCTCCGCCGCCTCCACCGCCACCTCCACCGCCCCCGCCAGCTCCACCCGCGCCCTTGCCCCCCTTGCCCTTGCCAGGTCGGCGTCTCCCGCTAGGGGCAGACGCCCCGCCGACCGACTCAAGACCAAGCAGGTCGGCGGCAGCAGCAGAGGCAACAGAGGGCAGCAGGGGGGAAAGAGAACACCCCTCAAAGATGGGGGTGCGAGGGTCACCCCGAGAGGCTCCTACAGCGACGATGCTCTTCTCCGCCGCCAGGAGGGCCTTCTCGAGGAGGTCAACAGTGAGAGTGGTGGGACAGACTGAGAGAAAGTGGTCCCTGACTACGCGAAGGGAGTCAGGGAGGCGTGTGACTATGTAATAGAGAGTGATGTACATGGGGGGGGGGGCTTCCTGGCGCAGAACTCAGCAGGAAGTGCGGCGCGGTAGCGAGTGTCACTAGTGCGGAGGTGCGTAATGAGGTCGGCGACTGTGGGAAAGGCAGCAAGGTCAGGAAAGAGGTACGGTGGCATGAGGCGGCTCAGTGCAGCAGTGGCAGGAGAAGAGTAGCGCGCAACTACAGCGTCGTACAAGGTCTGAGCACTCTTGTACTGACTAAAGTGCGCGCGCTCAGTGGTAGGCAGGTGGCGACGCACAGCAAGACGTGCAGCAGCATCGCGGGTGGCCCACTGAGAGCGAACAGTGGGGTCAGCGTCAGTAGCAGGGGCAGGAGAGGCGCCAGAGGTGAGGTCAAAGAGAGAAAGACCGTCCGCCCTATTGCACTGTAAAAACAGCTGCAGGTCGTCGACCCAGACGTCAAAGTCAATGGCTCGACCCTCAGCGTCAAAAGTGAGGACACTAGGGGTAGCCATGACGACGATAGACTAGCAGTGCAAGCAGTAGGGGAAGGGCACGCAGTGACAGTGGGGCTGCGCTCACCTGACAGGGCAGGTCGGGCTGCTCGGTAGTAGGGCGGCTCGGCTGCTGGGCGGCTCGGCGGCTGGGCGGCTCGGCGACTCGACGGCTCGGCGCTCGGCTGCTGGGCGGCTCGGCTGCACAGCGGCTCGGTGGCTGGGCGGCTCGGCGCTCGGCTGCTGGTCTGCTCGGCTGCACAGCGGCTCGGCTGCTGGGCGGCTCGGCTGAACGGCGGCTCGGCTGGTGGGCGGCCGGGCGGCTCTGCAGCTGGGCGGCCCGGCTCCTCCGGTACTCGGCGGCGCGGCGGTCGGCTGCTCGGGTGCACGCTGCAGGGTGGTGCTGCGGTCGGCGGCTCGGGTGGCGGGCAGGAGAGGAGAGTGGCAGGGCCGCAGCAGACGGGCAGCGTTGCCCCAGGTGCAGGGCAGCGGGGCCGCAGCAGAAGGGCGGCGGGGCCGGTAGAGTCGGGCGGCGGGGCGGCGAAAGCAGGGCGGCGGGGCCGCGAGGTGTAGGGCGGCGGGGCCGCTGAAGCAGGGCGGCGGGGCCGCGAAATGAAGGGCGGCGGGGCCGCTAAAGCAGGGCGGCGGGGCCGCGAAGTGTAGGGCGGCGGGGCCACTGAAGCAGGGCGGCGGGGCCGCTAAAGCAGGGCGAAGGGGCCGCTAAGGAAGGGCGGCGGGGCCGCTAAAGCAGGGCGGCGGGGCCGCGAAATGAAGGGCGGCGGGGCCGAGAAAGCAGGGCGGCGGGGCCGCGCTGTGTAGGGCGGCGGGGCCGCTAAAGCAGGGCGGCGGGGCCGCGAGGTGTAGAGCGACGGGGCCGCTAAAGCAGGGCGGCGGGGCCGCGAGGTGTAGGGCGGCGGGGCCGCTAAAGCAGGGTGGCGGGGCCGTGGGGTGTAGGGCGACGGGGCCGCTAAAGCAGGGCGGCGGGGCTGCGAAGTGTAGGGCGGCGAGGCCGCTAGGTGTAGGGCGGCGGGGCCGCTAAAGCAGGGCGGCGAGGCCGGTAAAGCAGGGCGGCGAGGCCGCGAATCAGGGGCGGCGGGGCCGCGACAGTAGGGCGGCAGGGCCGCTAGGGGAGAAAAGGCCGCTAGGGCGGCTCGTCGAGTTAACAGCCCGAGGCGCGACTCGGGATGAGCGCGCTTCGAGCAGTAAAAAAAAATCGAAGTGGTGGGCCCTAGGCGCAGTTCCCACAGGGGAACCTGCTCGATACCATGAGAAAAGTGGAACGAGAATGAGAATGACTAAGTGAAAGTTGGGTACAAATACAAACCCTAGAAAGCTGTACCCCATATGTACTACCCCACTATAGCCTACAATAGCTATGTCATATATATCTGACAGGTGCAGCAGGTCCTTGAGCGCTGTGACTTCCAGTACTCCTCGCCATAGGCCACTTTTCTGCCTACCGGTCACTCGCTCTCATTTCTGCCTTCGGATGAGTCCGTAGAGCCGAGTGGCCCGTATCCAGAGCTTGTGGGCTGCCTCATGTACCTGATGACCTACACTCGTCCTGACCTTGCTTACCCTCTTGGCCTTCTGGCTCACTACGTGGCTCCTGGTCGGCACCAAAAGGTGCACATGGATGCTGCTAAGAGGGTACTACGCTACTTGTGCAGTACATCGGGCATGGGGCTCGTGCTCGGAGGATGGAGCGACGTTGTCCTCACTGGGCACTCAAACGCTTCTTGGGTTGACGACTAGGCTACGCAGCGGTCGTCACAGGGTTACACCTTCAGCCTTGGCTGTGGTTCAGTTTCTTGGCGTTCTAAACGCTCGTCTTCAGTTCTCAGCTCTAGTTGTGAGGCTGAGATCTACGCCACAGCCATGGCTGCACAGGAGTTACGCTGGCTTACCTACCTGCTAACCGACCTGGGAGAGCGGTCTTGTTCTCCTCCAGTACTGTACGTTGACAACAAGGCCGCCATTGCCTTGTGTCAGGAGCACAGAGTGGAGCACAGAACGAAGCACATCGCTCTGCGTTACTTCCTGGCTCGATAGTTGCAGTAGCGTGGTCAGCTTCGTCTTGCTCACGTGGCCATTCGGGCCAACACTGCTGATACATTCACTAAGGCACTTCCATCTGATGATCATCAGCGATTCTGCACGTTGTTAGGCCTTGTGCCCACTTTTCCTCACTTTCTGTAGACTTTGCTGGTACTGTGATCTCTGCATATATATATGTGTATATATATACATATATCTGCATGCTTGTTCTGCTAGGTAGAGATCACTGTACTGTTGTTGTTGCATATATACCTCTGCATGTGAACTGGCCTTGTGGCCCTTTGCTTGTGCTCAGTGTGTGTGGTGACGTTGTGATCCACCCTGAGCTTGCTTTGCTTCTCTTGACTGGTCTTGTGACCCCTTGCTCTCCCCCACTTTGCCTATCGGGGTGTGTCAAAGCATATATATATGCTATATATGTTCAGGCTGTAGTGGGGTAGCCAATATGGGGTACAGCCCCTTTTAGGGTTTCATACTTGTACCCAACCCTTTCATAGTTCATTCATTCCTGCTGCTAGGGGGGGAAGCGGTATTTATCGGCCCCCTCCTAACAATGGGCAGCCTTCTACTTCTGCCGGAGCTCCAACAGAGCAGCCGATGTCGCCTGACGCATCCGCATTTGGATCGCTCCCCACTGCCTTGCCGATTTTCATTTACGGCAAGACGAACGTGGAATCTTGGCTTCATCGTATGGAGGAAATGCTTTCCATCCACAACGTGCGCCCTGACGCACGTGTTATTGCTGCTACGGGTGCTCTTGATGAGACTTCGTGCAACACAGTCTACAGCACTATGAAGCTCGCCAAGGCAACGTCGGCCACCTTCGGATGGTCCGATTTTTGCGGCGCGATCAAGGACGCTTTCCATGTGCAAAAGACTGACTTGGAAGTGCGTAGCCGCATCAAGAGCATGCAGTGCGGTAATCGCACTGTTCAGGAGTACGCCAATGAGTTCCAACGGACTATGCTCCTCCTGATCGTCACTCTCACTGAGAACGAGGCGATGTTGTTGTTCTACGAAGGCTTCCCGCAATGGCTTCGCGAGAGGCTCGTGCTGAGCATGAACCAGTACGCTATGTACAAGGAGCTCAAAACAGCTGTCATTGAGCTTGACGTGAGCGTCCGCACTTACCTTAATGCCGCCAAGGGTCGCCTGCAGAACGGGGATGAAGGCCCTATTGGCCAGAACAATGCGGCAAAGCCTTCTAATGGGAAGGGCCCTTGGAAATAGAGGCTTTTCCAGCCGCAGAACCAGCAGAATGGCCCACAGCCTAAGAAGCCCTTTCACAAGGGTGGCCAGCAAAGAAACGGAACTCTTTTTTGCACCCACTGCAAGAAGATGGGTCATACGAGGGGGCAGTGCAGTGCGCTGAAAACGGAGATGCAACAGCAACAGGCAAACAAGAAGGGAGATGCAGGACCTTCAGGCTCACGCCAGGATTTTCACAAGTCCAACTAGGGTGTGGGTACCTAGCACAACAAATAGATCGAGTTGATGAATCTTACGTCCTTCCTGACGATGATCTATTAAAGCTAGAGAAACTTGTTGAGTGCAAATCTCTTGTTTGTTTGCTTCTTCTTTGAGTGAAAATTATGTTTTTCTACCTCGATTGCACCCACTCACACACCTATCTGTCAACGAGAGTTGTGTTTG